AATGTGCAACAGTGAATGAATCGGAAAAATTAAATGGAAAGAACATGCTGTAAAAGTATCTGTGTTGCATTAAAAAATCACTAATAAAAATTTTTTAAATGTAGATTAAATGTTAATTAAATAAAATGAAAATAATATCTCGTACAAACTTAAGAGGTGTTTTTATGCCTTCCAACTTGATTTCACGGCCTTTAAAGTGAAGGAGCCTGATGCATAGCGTGTAAGTAAGTACTGAGCTGCTACCGGGAAGACCAGTGGTTTGCATCCTCTGGAAACTCGTAAGACATCAGCGAGGGGAGATGGTCTCCTCCAATGAGGTGTCCAGCCTGGGGAGCCTGACGGAGGGGTGTCATTTGCTGACTCAGAGGTAACAGATGGTCATGGACTAGGCTTTCAAACAAGGGGGAGGCTTTTGCCCTCAAATTTGCAAACATGGGAAATCAAAAGGTATTGCACCACAAAAGGCGAAAACATCACAAAGGAAAAGACATCCTAGATGAGACAAAAATCCTGAAGGTAAAACAAAGGAGAGAATATAACCTCCTCAGAGCCTCCAAAAGTCTCAGACATTAGGCTGGTGATCCATTTCTGTAATGATGGCAGACATTAAATTCTATGGAGATAAAAAGAAAAGAAAAAATTTCTGTGGAGATAGTTCTGTGCTGTAAGACACGTAAGACATGTCAGAATCAACTCAACAAAAGGTTCCAAGTTTTCTCCTCTGTGTTTGTGTATATTAATATTAATATATGTATGTGCCATCGAGTTGCCTGTGATCCATAGTGACCCTGTGTATAACAGCTCTGAAGCCTGCCCTGTCCTGATCCAGTCTCACTGACTCTGACACATCAACCTGCATTGCCCCAGTTACTGTATCAATTCGTCTCATCCGAGTCTTCCTTTCCTGTGCTGTCCCACCACCCTTCCAAGCATGTTGTCTTTCTTCAAGAATCGGTCCCTCCTGGTCATATGCCCAAAGTATGTGAAACAAAACTTCAAAATCCTACCCTCCAAGAAGAAATGTGGTTTCATCCTCTCCAAGACAGACCTATTTGTTTTCTTGGCTGTCCATGGTATGTTCAAGACTCTTTTCTAGCACCACAACTGAGAGACATCAATTCTCCTTCTGTCATCCTTAGTCACTGTCCAGCTCTCTGATGCATAGCAAGTAATGGCGAAGACCGTGGCCTGGATCAGGTGCACCTTAGTCTTTAGACTGACATCTTTGCTTCTCAGTACTCTGGAAAGGTCCTTGACAACAGATTTACCTAATGCAATTTCTCTTTTGATTTTCTGACTGCTGTTGTCAAGAGCATAGATTGTAGATCCAAGCAAGCAGTAGTTAACAACCTTAATCTATTCTGTGTACATCATGGTGCTGCCAATTGGCCTTCACATTTATATTCTACATAGATCTCTGGGTAGTGTAGACAGCTTCGACTCATCAGCTGAGTGTGATTAGAATATACGCAGACACCACATAGACTAAAGGGCGCCTGACAACTTGCTTTAAGAAGACCAAATGGAGCTGCTGTGCTGTGCTCTGGCTTGAGTGAGTTGGAACTGACTCAAAGGCAATGAATTTGGTTGTTTTCATTATGTATCTATCTAGGGAGCTCTAGTGGCCTAGTGCTTAAGAAGTTGTGTTGCTAATTCAAAGGCAGACATTTTTAATATACCAGCTACTCCAAGAGAGAAAGATGAACAATTCCCTCCTACATGATTTACAGCCTCTTAAAACCCCCTGGAGGGTCTGCTATGAATTGATTCAAACACAACAGCTCATAACAACAACTTTATCTATCTATCTATCTGTCTATCTATCTATCTATCATCTTTCTATCATAGCTAGCTCTCTCTCTCTCTCTCTTCGTCCTTGTAGAGGGACATCTTGTTTGAGAGGGTGAGGGACAGCACAGGAGAGGAAGACCCTCAGACCCTCGATGGATTCAGTGACTTGGGGGCAGGTGTATCAGAGACAATGAGATTGGCACAGCATAGAGCAGGGTTTAGGGCTGTTGTACATAGGGTCTCTATGAATCGCAGGCAACTCGGCAGCACATAACAACAAATATATCTCCTTCAGGGTCTTCCTCTCCTGCGCTGGCTCTCCACCCTTTCAAGCATGATGTCCTTCTCCAAGGACTCATTACTCATGTCCAAAGTATGTGAGACAGAGGTTCAAAATTCTTGCTTTTACCCTCTCCAGGACAGATCTGTTAGTTCTCTTCACAGAGAACAATCTTCCTATGAGCTTCCATGACAGATGGTTCTAGCTCTGTATCTGTCTAGATATATATCTACGTGTCTATTTATACAAGAAGCTCTGGTGGCCTAGTGATAAGGAGCCATGCTGCCAACTCAAAGGGGTGCTGTTTGAACCCACCAACAGCTCTGCAGGAGAAAGATGGGCAATCTCTTCCCATGCTATATACTATCTCTGAAAATCTCCTGGGTTGGTTCCGACTCAACGGTACATAATTACAATTGACCTAGATGTATAAAGCTATCTATTCTGTATAGTTATATAGTTTGTCTATGTATATTTATCTCCTACTGTTTCTGTTTCTCTGGCTGTTATAATCTAGAACATTCTAACAGCCTCATCCTAAACAGGGACTCAAGACTGTCACAGGGAAAAGCCCTGAGCTCCGTCCTCTGCCTGCTCCTCACACCTCCTCTACCCAGTGCAAGTGGCATCAGTGCCCACAGACGAGGTGGTGCTCCTGGCCCTCCAGGGCCCCCTCATGTTTAAATGATGCCTGAAACCTGAGGCCACACAGTCTCAGTCTCTTTGCGGGAAACCTGAGCAGAGGAGTGTGCAGCCGGATTGATGGGCCAGGAACTCACCACCTCGCTCCCCTCCTCTCTCCTCAACATCAGCCATCACCACATTTCATCTCCAAGGCTGGGGAGCCCTGGCAGTCCTTGGACCCAGGAAGGCAGGCTGTGCTGTCATGAGGGGAGGGGAACCCCCCGGACTGGAGGTGTGTGCAGAGAGGCAGGCTGTGTGAGCCTGTGGGAGAGGTAAGCTGCTTGCCATGAGCAGCCAGCTGAGGGTCCAGGAGGGGGAAGGTGAGTGTGCATCCTCATCCCCTTGGGGTCCACCTGTGAGAGACTCAGTGGCCGCAGGGCAGGAAGGAGCAGGTGCAGGCTTTCTGTTGTTGGACACTGGGTTTGATCCAAGGTCTGCCACTTGCTCTCTGCGCACGGTCAGATGATTCACCCTCTCTCTGCCTCATCTGGGGGATGAACATAGCCATCGCTTCCATGCAGAGCCATTATAGGGATCCAAACAGCTGGGAAGCCGGTGCAGGATGCTGGTGTCAACAGCTCTCAGAGCCCCTGGCCCTTCCAGCTGTCTGTAGTCTTGCTTCGAGTTTCTCTGCCCGTGCAGCCCTTCAGCGGAGTGCTCTCTGGGGTCCTGCAAAGCACAATTAAGAGCTTGGCTACCAGTGGAAAGGTTGGCTGTAGAAGTCCACCCAGAGGTGCTTCAGAAGAAAGGACCTGCTGATCTGCTTCTGAAAGGTCGAAGTCACTGACATCCCTGTGGAATGCAGTTCTACTCAGAAATAAAGGGACTAAGGGGCTGTCTAGCCTGACACCTTTCCCAAGAAGGCTGTCAGAAAAATGTTACAGGCTGGGGGCTCACTGGGTGAATCAATCAATTGGAGCCAAGTTGATGGTGGAGGCCACTAAGGGGGTCCTATAGAGAAGCAGAGGTGGTGCAGGGAGGTGGACTTTGCAGGGCCGGCGCCTACCCCTGTCTCTGTCTCTTACAGTGCGAGGTGGAGTGAGGGGGCAGCCCAGGAGCGGCTCTCCAGGCACAGGTAAGATGGAGTGAGGTATTCCTGCGAGCCTCATACCGGCTCCCCTCAGTGCTTCTCTTTCATTTTCCTCTTGACCACCTTCCCTTCCACTTTACTACTTTCCATTCAGCACAATGCACTGACTCTTCTAAGAAGCAGAGGGTTTCACTTGACGAGAGCAAGTATTACTAGAGGGGACCAGGGCTCAGGCTGGAGCACCCAGGAGGTTCCCAAACAGTGGTACCTGGAATCAAGGCCTGAGAAGCAGTGAGCACTTAAAGACTGTGAGGCAAGGAGACACCTTCGAGCAGGACTCCCCCCACTCAGAAATCCAAAGGACACATTCTTTTATTTCTTTTGATTGGTTTGCATACAATCATTCATATACATTGTGTTTTGTGCTTGTGCATTATTTTCATAGTCTTTCATTAGATTGTATTTCATTCATGCATATTTTGTTTTTCTGCTCTTAACATCCATGATATTAATAAGCATATACACAAAAGTGTGAAAGCGTGTAAGCCTTCACATTCCATGCCTTAATATCCCCATTTTAGATAGCCAGTTTCTGATTTGCACATTCCTATCAAACCAGTACTCTAATTAAAATGTGGTGATGTTGTTATGTGCCATTGAATCGCTTGCGACTCATGTCTTCAGCAGCCCTTAACTCTGCTCTGCCCTGTGCCAATCGCACTATCTCTGACACACACACCCCGATTACCCCAGTCACTGAATCAATCCACCTCATAGAGGGCCTTCCCCTCCCGTGCTATCCCTCAATCCTACCAAGCATTATGTCCCTCTCCAAGGTATGTCCTTACAACATGTCCAAAGTATGTTAGACGGAGCCTCAGAATCCTTGCCTCCAGGGAGCCACCAAGTTTAACCCTCTCCAGGACAAACCTGTTTGTTTTTTTAGCAGTCCATGATACTGTCAATAATTCTCTTCTCACATGGTTTCCATTTGAAATCTCCTCTGGAGTCACCTCTGAGAGATCTATTATCCTATTTTTATTTTGCTGCTGTTGTTGTTAGATGCCGTAGAGTTGCTTTGCTAACGCAGAGACTTTGCATCAATAGTTTTAACCTACCAGTGGCTCATTGGGAGAAATATGAGCAATTTCCTTCTGTTAAATTCATAGCTTTTAAAACCCAATGAAGAGTCAATTACTATGAGTCAGAACCAACTCAGTGACAGTGTGGGAGTGAGGGGATGGTTGGAGCATCATCCAAAAGCTCTGAAAGACAAGTGGAAGGAGACGTCGACTTTCTTACTCGTTCTTTTCCCTCAACATAGATCCAGTCTTAGGTGGAGATGGAGACCTTCTCTTTGCTTCCATTTCTCATTCCGCTCATATTTCAGGTTCCTTTGCTCCCTTTCCAATGACCAGGCTTTGTCCTGGAGACGCTTTCCAAGAGCTCACAGCTGCTATGACATTTGTTTCTAGGTCTATTTCATTTCCAAAGTGGGCCTTGGAGAAGCCTGGTAGAGCCATGAGAGAAAGCATCAACAGGAGAAACCTGTCTCTCACCGGCCGCTACTGATCAATTTCTTTACTCTTTCTCTACTTAGTCTTATTGAAGATGCACTTTCTGCAGAGATAGGGGAGGAGAAAGGAGTTGGGGCTGGAGTAGATCAAGAAAGCATATCCTCACACGTCCAACTAACTAGCTCTGAATTTCTAAGCAGCACTTACCACTTTTTAATTTGTGTACACGGGTTATCTGATCAGGTTCAACAAGACTCTCAGTAAGCATTGGAGAAGGGCAGCACAGGCACCGGAGGCTCATTTTCTAGCTAAAGACATCAAGTCCGAAGGACACGGGCATTGTTCTTAGTGGAGTCAGAGTCATGCTTGATGTTTCTTCTTCTTTTCTTTTTAATAAAATTCTTATTTTATACTGGTTTACTTACAAAGTTTGTAGCCATTGCTTTTCACACTGGATCTTTCCCCTTTCCTTTTCCTACCCCTCCCTCCACCCATCAAACTGTGAGATCCTATGATTAAGCCTCTCCCATCCTCACCCTTCTGCTCCCCTCCCCTCTTGGGCCCTCATACACGTTCTTCAGTAATGGTCTTATACAATATTTGTCCTTATGGGACTGAGTTAGTTCATTCAGCATAATACTCTCCAGTCCCTCCCAAGTTAGAGAGTAATTTACAAAATATTGCTTATTGACTTCACAACTAGTGAACGTCCACAGCAGACATGTTTCCAGAGCTCGCCCCAGTGAAGGATGATGAGAGACCCTCACTTTACATGAGCCTCTTCCCATTTTGCTAGTGTGGTCCTTTGATGCACACCTCACTCTATGGTCCAGTCTGATCCTTCAAATTTCAAACCCACTTCTCGTGGGCATGCACGGCTTTCTGGGAAACCTCTTTGTGTTGTTTTTGTTGTTAGTTGTTGTCAAGTTGACTGAAACGCACAGTGACTTTATGAACAAGAGTGTCCTCTGTGGACCATCTTCTCCCCTCGCCCTGATTGTTTAGATTTTTATCACTTCAAATATAAAATTTCATTACCTTCTTCTTCTTTCAGTTTTTCTGAAAAGAAATTGGAACTTAATCTTATGATGCTTTCCTCAGGAAACTCGATGAACTTTGATCAATGTTGATAGTTATGGAAAAGCTTCATGCCTTTTGTTCATAGGGTCGCTATGAGTCATGCTCCGCTAAAAGGCAATCATCAACAACAACTTTTAAATTGCTAATTTCTTCTTCTTCCTGACTAAACCTATTGTTACATCCTGCCATTTTATTTCTTTTTCAGTTATTGTCCTTTCAGTTGCAATATTTTTGTTTGGGTATTTTATTTTTTTTTAATTTTTTTATTTTTATTTTTATTTTGTGTGCGTGTACCGTCAAATCAGATCTGACTGGTACAGGAGGATATTGCGCCTCCTTCTCCGGCAGAGC